GGGGGCAGGAGCTCCCTCAAGGTGCTTAGCGTGGCCCATGGTCCTTTAGGGCCTCTCTAAGTGCTGAGCTTGCAAAGAAACGGGAAGCTGGGACTTCCCCATGGAGGTGAAGGGGCAGTCACACCCCTCTGGCCTCAGCCTGAGGGGTGCCTCTCCTCTGGCCACCACCTGTCACAGGAACTCGCGATAGCTGCTCACCCCTCAGGTGGGCAGGGATGGGGTGGCTGTGCTGCCTCTCCCCTGCCTTTAAGCATCAATCAGAGTGGTCAGGGTGAAGGAGAGACCGTGGAGGTGGTCATGTGGGCGCCCGGGGCTGCCAGTCAGGGTAGCAGAAGGCAGATGGGAGGGACGTGTATACCCCCCCCCCCCACACACACACATCAAGGTATCCCCATCACCATGAGCACCATGAGGGCATGGCATATCCGCATGGTCTGGAGTGGAGTGTACATTGGGGGTGGGGGGGGGGCGTGTTCTTTTGAGGCCGCACAGCCTTGTGCTGAGGCCTTGCATTCCTGCCGGCTGGCTTCCTGTTCCAGACGCATTCCTGCCCTCGAGTCACCAGGAGACTGCTGCTTGGAATGTGGCCCCACATCCTCCAAGTTCAGGGTGAGCTCTGGCGAAGTTTCCCTCTTTTCCTCCCACCCTCTCACTTTGGAGGGAGGAGCCACCTGACTGACTAGCCAGCCCTCCTAACCTCCTACCCGGGAGGGCAGTCTGGGGTCTGGCAAGGCTGGGGTTTGGTACCACACATGCTGTTAGATTTGCATAAAGCGGTTCCTGCCAGGACCAGTGGTCTGTTTCCCTCTCTGAGAAAGGGGAATAGGGCCCTAACCTGTTTGGCTCAGTGGATAGAGCATCGTCCTGCGGACTGAAGGGTCCCGGATTCGATTCCAGTTAAGGGCATGTACCTTGGTTGTGGGCACATACCCAGTAGGAGGTGTGCAGGAGGCAGCTGATCGATATTTCTAACTCTTTATCCCTCTCCCTCTCTGTAAAAAATCAATAACATATATTTTTAAAAAAAGAGGAATAGGGCGAGGATAGGGCCGGAGGGGGCAACCCAGGGGACCCATGGCCAGTGGGGTAGGGCTTGCCTGGCTGAAAACCAGGCGCTAAGCATGGTCGGTAATTCAAGCACTTGGCCATCATGCCTCCTTCCCTGGGCTTGGCTGGAGGCCTGTTTCTTGCTCTTATAAAGTTAGACTCTTGTAGTTGGTTCCCTGATGAAGGCTCCTGCGTAGGGTGTTTGAGAAAGGGTAGGAGGGAACCAGGAGCAGAAGAGGTGGGCAGACATCTCCTCCCTCCCACGTACCAGCCACCTCCTCCCGGGAGGCCTAGCGGCTCAGGTGCAGGTTTGCCGCCCACCGGCTTCCTCGCCTGCTGCAGGGGATTGGGTCCTGCCGGGATGTCCCCAGCCAAGGTCACCTCCCTCAGGAGGACAGGTTTCCTCAGAGGCCGCCAGCCCACCTGGTCACAGGCTGCCTCGCTCCAGCAGCCGCCTGGCTCCCAGCCCCCTTCAGGCCCTGCGGTGGAGGGTGGTGGGTACAGTGTGGAATCCCGTGGGGCAAAAGGCTGGGCTGGGACAGGGGAGGCCCCGCCCCAGGGCCGCTCGCCAGTCCTCCCCAGCTCACTGGGTCCCCAGTCCTGAAGTCCCAGCCACCCCAGCTGTAGGGTCCCCGGTGAGGAAGAGGGTGGCGGCCAGGGGGGTTTCGGGGGCTGGCCGGGGACCGGCGCTCCCGCAGCTGTCGGAAAGGAGTTTCCCTGGGCAGACGGCATCCCCCGTTTCATCCCTGGACTCTGAGCCCCGTGGGGAGCCCTGATGGGGTTCGGGTGGCGGTGACTGGCCCAGGCGCACAGCGGGGAGCGCGGGGCGTCCGCGTCCCGGTCAGGCCCTCCCAGGCGGCACGTGGGCTCCATTTCCTTCCGCGCCCCCGCCCCGGCCCCGGCCCCGGCCCCGCCCGCCCGCGGCGTTTCGGCGGCT